ACGGATCGCCGACCTTTTTCAATGGACGGCACACCACGGCGATCGATGTAACTGGTGTTAGTCGTTCCCTCGTTGGAAGAATGCAGTGGAGCGTCAATCCGGACCTCTACGGTAGCGATCATTACCCGGTTCAGGTGCAACGAGTAGACCTCGGTGGCGCTATGACGAAGCCGATTGGGAGAGTTACGATGAAACCTTCCAGTCGTTCCTTCAACAACGTAACCCTGACATCATCGAGAATCTCACTGAAGCAATAAACGCAGCTGCGTAAGCAACCATCCCGAAAGCCCTTGAATGGTAGAACGAGGAAACGAAGAAGGCAGTGAAGGCCTGGCGAAAAGCGCTTCGACGAGTCTAACGGCTTCCCATCGATGATCCGGATAGGGTTGTACCTATCGAGAACGGCACAACCAGTGTCGCCAATTGGTCCAAACCAATGCCAAACGATTCAGTTGGACGAACTTTCTCGAAAGCATAAATGCCTCACAGTCTTCGGTGGAGCTCTGGGGTAAGGTCAACGCCCACAGTGGCAAGCGCCGTACGACCACACTGCATATAGAGGTAGACGGCGCTGCAGTCTCCGACCCCACAATCGTTGAGATAAGCTTGGCGACTACATCGCTGACCTCTCTGCGATTTGCAAGTACGAGGTGACCTTTAAACGGCTAGCAAACGAGCCGACACGGGACGTGGCGAAGTTCCGACCCATTGCGCTCACCTGCTGCATGGCAAAGGTGTTCGAGCGGATGGTCAACCATTTGGGCGGCCTTCTAGACCATCGCCAACACGCATTCCGGTAAGGCCACGGTACATCCACGTATTTTGCGACACAAGGAGTACTCCTCAAGGATGCCAAGGATAACGGTCTCCACAACGGAGTTGGTTTCCCTGGACATTGCGAAAGCCTTCAACCGTACATCGACGCTCGCGCTACTGAAGCAACTCGTCAGCTGGGGCCTTAGCGGCCATATCATCCTTCCGAGTCTCGGTAGGTTATACCAAATCCCGCACCTTCTGCGAGGAAACTGGCGTTCCCCAAGGTGATCGCTGTCACCTTGTTTCTGGTAGCCATGAACAGTGTCTTCAAGCGGTTACCAGCGAACATCTACATTTTCGTGTACGCAGACGACGTGCTAATCGTAGCAACAGGTCAAACTCCGGGACGAACGAGGATTAGAGCCGAAGCAGGGGTTTCCGCCGTAGCCAGATGGTCCGCTTCGAAAGGCTTTCAGCTGTCTGCTGGAAAGAGTGCTTGGTGCCACGTTTGCCAGTACCGACACCGGGTCTGCTGACCTTCCATAAAGCTCGGCAATCAAGCCATCCCATTGAAGAAAACTGTAAAACTGCTGGGGGTTGTCATTGACCGGTCGCTGAGTTTTGACCAGCACCTTCAAAGGGTCAAGGCCAGCTGTAACAGCAGGATCCGCACAATCTCCTGTCCCCACCGGTCCAGACAGAGACCAACAGAGAAGTACGTTTCCGTGTTGCCCGGGCCATCGTAGACAGCCGGCTGATGTATGGACTCTAACTGACCTGCTTCGCCAACGACAAGGCAATACAAATACTCGCTCCGGTGAACAATAGCTACACGCGCATCATCTCCGGTCTCCTACCCTCGACGCCAGCCGATGCCAGCTGTGTCGAAGCCGGCACTCTTGCTTTCCGGTACCGCATCTACGCTGCCATTGCCAACAAAGCCGTTGCATTTTCAGCAAATACCGCCGGAATCGACAGCGAAGGGGACAGAGTTCTCCGTACAATCACCAACGCAGAGCTCCCCAGTGGCCAAGATTCACTGGTACGTAGATAAGAGTTGGCAATCTCTCGCACCAAACATCGACAGCCGGATAAAGGAGAAGTTCAGAGCTGGGGACAATTCCGTAGCCCTTAGGAAATCGGTAGCTGACCGGATTGTACCCAAACTACAAGATCGGGTCAAGATCGAGAGCTGGAGTTGGAATTGGAATCACTGGCAGCGGCTGTTCTTCATGCCGTCACGGTTCCAGCGGATTATTCAGGCCCTTTCGCCGAAGGTCCCGGTCCACCCCTGGATCCAGGGCACCTGAAGGTTGTGCCACCAAACACTACCTACGCATGGATTTCCGGACGCTGTGGGATCCCAGGGAACATCGAGGCGGACAACCTAGCTGGGTCAGACCTATCTGGTCCTCGGTACTCGCACAAGGGGCCGTTGCAGGTCGTGAAGAGATGGATCACTTGCATAGTGCGGACAGCGTAGGCAATAGAATGGTCCAGTGCCAGACTTCCGTTTATTAGAAAAATTAAAGGCGAGATCGGAAAGTGGACGGACCTTGCAAACCTGCGAGATCAGAGGATTTTTTTTTTCCAGACTCCGGACAGGACACTCCCTAATCTCACGGGATTTCAGCGGAGGACCCTTCAGGAAGACCTATGAATTCTGGCATATTCCTTCGACAATTCGAGCATCTTCGTTGCCGTACGGGACACGCTAGCAGACGTGCCCTCAACTCAAGCAGCTGTGTAGCTCCTTCGGCCGTCAGGATATCCCCGCTGGACGGGGCTCCCAAGGACCTCCTTCAGTGGAAGTATGTTTTGTTATTGTTTTTTTTTGTTCATCGTATGCTGTTTACTGTGTTATTGTACTAGCTGTTTATATTTTTAGCTAAGTAGATTATCAAAGGTTGAAGTAGCATGATACTCAAGCAATGTGGCTGGAGACCTCTTCCTAAGGCTTCTCACCTTTTAAGGAGATGAACTAGCCTACGGCTAAAAATCTCCTAAACAACCCAAGTAATAATTTTGGTTTTATGAAGGTTCTGCAGACCATGATTTAGACTTTTAGCATGTTTTAAACCTCGATAAAACTTGCGATGTTACTTGGGAAAGTAAAAAAAGAAGAGGGCACTGTTGGGTGGTAGTTGAGCAAATTTGTAAAGATTCCGTTCCGAGTTCCGGTTTATTGGTAAATTACAAAATTCCTGTCGAAAATTCAACATATTAGTTTTAAGACTATGTTTATGATAGATTTTAATTTCTTACTTTAGTGTTCACTACCACTCAAACTTGATAACCTGTTCGTTGGCACCGTGCCGTACATCTAATATTTGTCTCTACTCGAGCCTATACTGTTATGATACAGAGTAATATCCAGTGTTCTGTATAACTCAATCCGTAGATAATTTGGCTAAATGGAAGAATGGTCGATTAGGTTTATGAGGTGCACATAGTTCAATTCTTCTCACGTTTTTAGGTAACTAAGTTTTAAATAGATAGGTAAGTTAAGTAGACTAAGTTCACCAAATTTATCTAGCAAAACTGTTTAGCTGTAATAATAGTTTTTAGGTTAGAATCCATGATTTACTTTTATCGTTAAGAATTCACTTTTACATCTAGTACCTAATGAATTTTTATATAAACCGATCGCTCGTCAGTAGATAAGTTCAAATATAATAAATTTTAATATTAAGATAGTTTAATAATGTGTAAATAGCAGGATACATTTTAGCACGCCGTTCGTCACGTTTAGTAATTTTTCACTCAGTCCACCTTTTATCCTTTACGTCTATTGTTTTGTTGTTTCTTGACTAGCTTCATATTCGTCCGGGTCGCTGTTGACGTGGGATGTTCAGCACCGTTACTATCGGGGCGCATCGGGCCCGACGGGCTATTTGACGTAGCGTAACCAACAGGCACACTATTAATTCCTTAAGGAACTCCTATGTTTACTGGCCGGTGCGAGCTCTGTGCATCTTTCAGTACTACAAACTGTTGCCTATCACTTAAATAACTACGAATAATGTCGTTTGCCAGTCCACGTATGCCATAGATATATAATTTTTGCAAAAGAATATTGTGATTAAGAGTATCGAACGCCTTCCTTAAATTAATAAAGAGGCCTCCAAAAATCGACAAGCTCAACTATTGCCGTAGAAGTACTACTTCCTTTCCTAAACCCGTATTGGAATTTCTACAAAACGTTAAATTTGTTAAAGAATTTTACAAGTCTATTAACTATCAATTTCTCAAAAAAATAATGACAGTAGACAGCGTGGAAATATGACGATCATTGCAAGGGTCAGATGCATCACCAGCTTTAAAAACAGGCACCACTTTTGCCATTGAGACAGCAAGGGCACAGACAAACAGACATAACACTCATAAGTTGCTCATCGAACAAGCATTTAACGGTCAATTTAAAAGTATCGTAGTTGGTAGTATCGCCACCTGTGGCGCGCATAGTAAATTCCCTTGCGTTTGACGTTTACACACTACCGCCATCTGTTCAGCGTACTACCCACTACAGTGTAATCAACAGATGGCGGATGTTTTAGCGACGATGTTTTACAGTGAGAAATATTCAATGTGTTATGTCTGTTTGTCTGCGGCCAGGGTATCTCCCTTCCTTCAGCATGCTATTGAAAAGCTCTATAAAGATATTTAAAAATGCATTCAGGATATGTTTAATGACACTTGCTATAATCTTAAGAACCATCGGAAAAAACTGATGTTCTTGGATTTTTGATATCTCTTTCCAATATTTTTAGAAAAATCAAAACGTGCCAAAACAAACATTTTATTTTCGCGGCGGCAAGCTTCGCGTTAAGGAAGAAAACCTTGAGGCCTCCACTTACCATATTCCTGTCACAACTTGAAATTCATTCTTACAACACATCAACAAGTGCTTTTGAAAAAAACCGCGAAGCTCTAACACCAATTTCATGAATTGACCACTTTAACGGTTGTTCCGGATCTTCCAGAGGGTCACCCTCTGATGTTCACAGACCCATATTCCGAATATAATTCTCGAAGAATGTCACTATTAAGTCCAGCAATCAATAAAATCCCATCAACGAGTGTAGAAAACAGTTCACCTCAAACGAAACTAATTGAATCCTACGCGTCTAAAATTCCGGATAACCGAACCATGGATAATCGAAACCCCGATAATCCAGTCCGACCTAGAAAACAATACATTTTGAACTTCTTTCTTTTCTTGATTCTTCTCTTTCCGAGTGCAGCAGCGAAGTGGCCCAGTTTCTGAACCTTTCGATCCCGGAGTGCCGTGCCATACTGGAACGCTACCACGAGGAGGAACAGCGGGAACTGCTTCGGATAAGGACAAAGTAAGTATCTACCAGCGATCTGTTCATCTTGAGGTAAAGTTTCTACATTGGATTTTTTGTTTGTTTACATTAATTTGCAGATACGCTGAGCTCCGTCGAAGGATAGTTCAGCGAATGGAATCGCTGAAGGTGAGACTGTAAATCAAAACGGAAATCCGGTGGCGTGTGTCGAACTCAGAACAAGTAGAAGGGATAAGGGGAAATTTCGTTTAATTTTAGGCCAATATGTGTTGGACGACTCGAATCGTGGTCATTAAAGTCACAGTAATATGATTAATATTAATTTTAGAAAAAAAAAACGCTAAGGGAGAGTCAACCAGCGAAGAAAAGGAAACGGGGAATCAGCACATCTCCAGAATCTAATCAAATAATTTATTGGAGGAGCTTTAGGCGTATGATGAAAAGAATAATCAATTATTTAACCAAACGCAATCAGCCGTGTAACACTAACCGTAATATATATATTTACCATTTATATTTTATTTTTACTTCGTAATAATTTCCTTATAGGACAAAGTTTCTAGTTTTGATCGGGATCAGTTGTAGCGATCGGTGTTTTTTTTGTCAAAACGCATTTTCGTTTTTTTTTTCGAAATGTAAGAAAACAGCCATTTTTAGAGCATTTTTCACTAGATTTTTCCTCCGATTTTTCCACGGAAATGCTGCCTTACCATGGCCAAATATTATTATCTATATAAAATTGGAAAATCATTGTCGAAGTTGTATTATAGGAAATACGTAAAATTTGTTGTTAATTCAATTTCAACGATTCATATCACTTCATTTTTTTTAGCAACAAATTCTCAATTGTCAGAAACCAGGAAACCGGTGTTAAGTCACATTTCAAATAAATTATTGTCGCTGGTCTGCCTCAAGAAAGCAAAGTAAAGAAAAAACACTACCACAAACAAAGTAAAACCAACAATAATGGGATCTATTAGTAAGTAAATCTCGCACAAACTCGGAACAAATCAACAATAAACCGCAACGCTCAGTTCCCCGACTAGCTCAGATAGGGTAAAAGCAACACAAGAAAAAAAAAGTATAGCGAAACAAATCAGTATGTAGTCATCTCCCATTTTTTGCTACCGTACATTGTTAATCAAATCGCAGCAAAAACTAATTAAATCATAATGAAGACGTTTAGCTTCCAGAAGACAGCCGAACAATTGACTGAGAGAGGGCGAAAAAAAAGAAGGAAGGCAAAACGCTAGGTTGTTCATATTTAAATCAATTCGATAACAGCAAAAAACAAGCAGAATCTGCACACGAAACAGTGCCGCAAAAACTCATGTTGAATTTAATCAAGGGAAAAAAAAAAGAAATGATAGATTGCCTCTTTCTCTGCGTGCAGCTGCCGCCTGTGCTCGAGGAAGGTGAAATGCAAAGGGAAGCGAACGAACCGAAAATTAGCACTCATATACGTGGGGCGGAGCGGAAGCATACGGCGTTGGAGGCGAACTGAAAGAAAGAGCAACAATTTAGCTATGATATAACTTTTGGTCGAAAATATAAAACACTATCAATTGCCGCGCAGTGACAGCGAATTTACTTTTTTTTCCCAAAGTCCCTTCCTCAAACCATAAAAAAAAACAATTGGTTACCGTTCGTCGTTTGCGGAAGCGTTCAAATCGGTCGTCCGAAGTCGTGGGAGATTGCAGTGACATCAAGGCGCGTGCAAGCGACGAACCGCTTGTTTGTTCCGATGATTTCATAATTGGATAAGAATGCGAGTACAGCAAAAAAAAAAAAAAGTTGCCGCCAAACCAATCAGCCTTGAACGACCTTTTGGAATGGGACAATTTCTTAACTGCAGTGGTTTTGGTCCGCTTTCCGAGCACGATCGTATCAGACGCCATAAAATATTCACTTTAGCCGATTGACATTCTCGGTCGGCAAAGCGAAAGTGAATTTCCGTTTTATCATTTGTAGGTAGGTTTGGATTCGAACAAAAAAGAGCAGAAAATCAACTTTTCACTCTTTTGGTATCAGCCATCGGTTTTGGGTGAAGAATTTTGATTGTTTACCAATTTGCGCGCGCTTGAAATGATTTCCACATCGTTCAAGTTTATTTCTGTTCTTGCACTTTGTTTGATCTTACTTTGGCTGGCGTGAATGTGCGAAATGAAACGAGAAAGAGAGTACAAATATCTACACCCGGTGGCAGCATGTTTCTGCTAATTAGTGGACAATTTTCTTGATTCCCTCAAGTTGCATTCGCTTGCTGCGCTTATCGTTCGTTTGGTTGCAACTGCCACTACCTTCATGACTGTGTGCGGTTTCGGTGTAGGTATTCCTACGTGTGCAAAAGTATGTAGTTTGTGTCCATAAAATTAGTTGAATGGTTCTCTCTTCTTTCCCTTAGTTTTTTTTTTGTTTTCCGAAAATCTCAGATGTTCCTTTTGTATCGTCTGGCTGCTACTGGAGTTGAATTCGTAGTGCATTGGATGTTCGGTAGAGGTTGTAAATTTCTTTTCGTTGGTTTGTTCTTGATGAAAAAAATCCTGGCGACAGACGGAATCCGGTAGCCCTCAAGCGCAAATATGTACACACCGTGCAGATTGAAGCTTGTATTTGCGTCTGCTTGGAACGTTCTCATTCGTTATCGTGATTTTGTACGAATGTTTTCATCGCACCGGGTTTCCGCTGCTTGTTGTTTTGGTAGAATCATTTTGGGCACAAGTTATCAAAACATATGGCATTACTGGTCTAATTTTCGTCAAAATAAGCACAATCCGTGCATTGCTTCATATTAGTGAATTTGTACTAAAAAAATGACGTCTTTCGGCAATATATTGGGGATGCAATTTTAAGAAACAAAAATTGACCGCGATACCAAAAGTGGTCAGATTTTGACCACTTACAACACTGTCAATAGCGGATGGGTTTCAATTCTAAACAAGTCAATCGATTGGAAATTTTTCTACGAATCTGCTAAAATGAACACTTTATCAATTTTCAATAGGTCATTATTGAAAATTACACAAATGTCCAACTGTTGCAATGGTGTTCAAAATTATCATCGATTGCCTGCAAAAAGCACCTTCCCTAACACAGATTTCAAAATCGAATTCCATTTGGTCTCGGCGAACGGTGCTGGTGGTGCCCGGTTGGTCGTCATCAGCAGCAGTGCTTTCGGCGCGTGACGTTGAACATTGTTCTACAGTACACAACGAAAGGCTGCCCACAAGCAGCGAGCTGTAACCCACATGAGCGCCTATTCACCGAAGAAGGAGGAAGAAGCCGCACCGCTACTGATCGAATTCAGTAGCTCTTCATGAGTCGCTGTGGGCCATCTTCAATGGGAGTATTGTCAAGGTGGACTTTTAAGTTACCAGGTGGGACAAGCCGTGGTTAATTGGAGTACGGAAAGCGTATGGTCTGTGTTTTAGCTGCATTGGTACAAATGTTCCTGCTTATGATATAGTCAGACAGAACATCCAGGCCTGATTGGAGTTTTCTCGTCAGAACACTGATCACTCGACCCTTATAGATGATGGCAGTATCATCTGCAAATATTGACATAATAGCACCACCCGGAAGGTGTAGGATTCAGGATATTCAGGAATTATAAGGATTACAGTGGAGTATTAATATTTTACAATTCATTATTTCACGTCCACACTATCTCTTGCTATCGTACACGTTCTCACCCAAACCTAACTGCCCGTCTTTTCTATGCCTACTATCATCTATCATTTTCTTATAATCTTCTAAGGTGTATGACCTCAGAAGGGAAGGAACACGTAACGTAAAGATGTTGAATAGGCTACCCTGGGGAACTTCGGCATCAACGTTGAACGTATCAGAAGCTAAATTGTTCAAGAAGACCTGGAATGATCTGCTCGAAAAGTTGTTTTTAATGATCTTAACCAGGAAGAGCGGGAAGTTGATCGACTCAGCTTGTACACAAGGCCATCATGCCAGACATTGTCGAACACCTTCTCAATGTCCAACAATGCCATGGCAGATGTATTGGAAATGGACTTGTTCCGCTTGATGATGTTAGTAACCCGTGCGAGTTGGTGGATGGTAGAGTTTCCTTTCCTTAACCCGAATTGCTCTTTGAGAAAGATGTTATTATCATTTGAAAACACCAGCAGATGGCTGATTTTTTCGAATAGCTTGGAGGAGCGATAGCTTTTGGCACTGGTAAGGTCTTTGCCAGGATTGTGAATTGGAATAACTTTGGCTAACTTCCAGCATGTTGGGAAGTAGCCAAGCACCAGACACTTATTGAAGACAGCTGCAAGTTGTTCGAAGAAGTTAACACTCAAGTTTTTCAACTCGAGGTTGACCACTCTATCGACACCAGCGACCTTCATGTTCTTGGTTGATTTAATGGCTACTATCACTTCATCAGCCGATATTCTACTTTCGTCAGGGACAACTACCGGGGTGGCAGCGATTCTAGGACTGGGGACTCACCATGGCTTGACCAAGGTTATGTGAATTCACAAAGTGTTCACCAAGAGCATTGGCCTTTCCAACTGGGGTTATGAGTAAGGATGGATTAGAATTCTGATGAGGTGAGCAAGGGGAAGGGATGGGCCTTGGCTTATTTTTTAAAATCTTTGCCGTTTTCCAGAATGGCTTAGCACAATCTGGGAGAGAGCGAATCTTGTTTGCAAAATCGATATTTCTGAGATTCACCTTGGATGATTTTGTTCAAACGGTTGCAATTGGTCTTCAGGTTAGGCAGCCCAGTACGTTGGTACTGCCAACGAATTGTGTTGCGGAGTCTAATGAGGTCTTTAGTGGGCCTGTCAAGGTTCAGAGTATTACTCACCTGTCATTATACTGGAACATGTTGCTCCATGGCCCGGGAAATCGCTTCATGGATGGAGCGCAGACACCGGTCGATGTCGTCGGTCGTTTCGTCATAGTCGATACTGGTGTCAACGCAGTGTTGAAACAGCGACTATATTAGCAGCGATTATAGTTTCGTCGCGATGCTTGGAACTTGTTGACTGAGGAACTCACTTCAGCCACCACCAGCACCACCACGACAGGTTGCGAGCTGTTGCCCATGTTGCTGATGTAGATATCGATGATGGCGTGAGCACCGGACCTACTCAACCGGGTGGGAGTGTCCGGACTCAAGATGTTGTACTGCGCTTCCTGCAGATCGTTGTTCAGGATGGTGCCGTTTTGATTGCGCCAACTGTTGCCCCAAGCTTGTTGTTTGGCGTTCAGGTTGCCAGCAATGATATATTTTTCCCGCCGTCTAGTCAGCTTGATGATATCTTGTCGAAGGTCCGCTGCCGACCCATCCCTGTTGTTAACTTGTCTGGGGCAGTAAGCCGCAAAGATGGTGATGGGGCCAAGCGATGTGCCGCCTGCAACGTCGATGGCTTCGATAATTTTGAGTTGGAAGTTCGGCATCAGGTGGCAGTTGATGTTACGCCTCACAGCAACGGCTACTCCCTCTCCTCTTGCACTGGTTCTGTCGAGTCTCAAGAGCCAAGTCCAATAGGTAGATGTTGACCGGCTTTAGATGGGTTGTGGTGATGATGACAATGTCGATTTCCTTGGCGTTAAGCAAGTCAAGGAGTTCGATATGCTTGTTCTTCAGCGAACAAGCGTTCCAATTTGCAATCTTTATAACTTCAGGGTCTACAAAATGGTGAGTTGACAACCTGGAAGGAGCGGAATACCTAGCCCTGGTCATCACAAGTTCCTACTTCACGCCTCCCCGAGTCATATGATAACAAAAAACATACACTGAAAAAAGTTTTCATATAGTTTCCATTGGAAACGCACATGATATTTTTCCAATAACAAAATTAATGATTTTTATCTGAAATTCAAATAACGTTCATACGATCACATGAATTGTATATGACAAATCACATAAACTTCATTGGACACATAAGGTTCATGTGATTTTGTGATGCGATTCCCAATTATGAGATCACATGAAAGTTAAGTGAAATTCTAATGGATATTTTCCATTGGAAATGTGATTTATTTTTTGAGTGTAGACACAGCTGGGTGGCGTAGCCTGGGCAATGCCGTCAGTCCAGAAATAGCAAAGTGAAGAGGTGCGACGCGAACACTGGTGCGGTAACCATAGTACGGTGATAGAGGAAATGCTTCACCAAACCCGAGCGGGAGGTGCGGCTCAAAACGGCGTCAGTTCTCCATGTTAGGAGCGGCTGATCACCGTCCTAGCATAGAGGTAACTCTAAGACTAATAGGTGCCGAAGAAACGTGCTCAACTTGTTGGCTCAGCTCTGGTACTATCTTCGGTCCCAAGCTATCGATTCACCCCTCGAAACATGGGATAATGCACGAACCCCTCATTTTATCTGTCAAACTTTCATAACGAATCAAAACAAACATAGTGTAGTACCAGAATTTCAACTAAAATGGGGAACGTTAATCGATTTGCTTGGGACCAATAGGCTAGTCAAGTAGTGAGCCAATTTCAAATCGATAGTTTCGTATTGATTGTTGGTCCTAGTGCCATCGTGGGACTCTAAACAGAGCTGTGCTCGATGGTCCCCCGGCGAGACAGGGGGTTTGAGGCAGGCCCAA